CAAAAAACGGTGAAAGCTAACGTACGAAACCAGAGGGCAGCACAGGATGCAATCGCACGATCCTGCCCGTGAGCAATCTCCCAACTCATCTCTGTTAGAGGTTAGTATCTTAACGTAGTGTGTGACTTTTTCTAGGAAATTTATTATAACCGTACTTTTAATGCACATTTCAGTTGCATCTCATCACAGCAAAAGTTAGCACAGATAAAACTGGCAATGCAAGGGGTGCAAGAGTTACACAATTTGCAGCACAGGGTTTCTGATGGTGTACACATTTTTTAATTTCATATGCGGGGTAAATAAATCGTAAGGAATGGCCTAGGGACTATTAGTCATTTCATTCCCAATGCTGATTTTAATCGGCATCCATGCAAGGGCATCTAAATCTGAGTTCGACACAATCGACATAAATGAATTAAGGTGTTGATCTGGCGGATATGGAAAGTACACTTGCACACATGCTGGAACAAAAGGGGTGATAATATTAAAGAAACCTTGAAAAATATATTCTTGCGATAATGCTTAATATCTTTTTTATTGTATCCCATGTGCTTTGATTCCCGAATCCAATAGAATTTGATAGTTTAACGAGTATGTACAAGATCGATTTAAATTTAGAGTCAAATGACATTTGATTATTAAATCCCCTAATGTTTTAAATTTGTTGGTAATGCCTGTAATGTAAAACTTACTAGTCTCTTCCGCTACCTATTTATTTTTTAAAATGATGTGGTTTACACTTGGATCTTATACCGAAGTTGTCGACATTTTCTTAACAGATGATCAACGGTTACTTTAATAAAAATATTCTTACACATGAGAGTACCACTAGATTGGCATAAATATTAAATCTTTCTGGTGTTTCGAGGTATTTCCTTATTAATATAATAAATTGAATAAAAATCTAAAATACATTTGTGTATGTGCATATAATGCACGTATATCAATTGTGTTTTGGACTTTGATATTTTAAACATTTTGTATCATGCGACTTACAAAAAGTAAGTAACACATGATTTTATAAACCTAAACAGACGTTACGTCATTAAAGAACTCTCCCTTCGTAATTAATTATACGGTTATTTCGTACTTCTCATATTGGTTTATTTTTATATAGCAAGGATTAATGTTACACTCCCGGTACTCTTTCGTTCAAATTTCTCGGGGAAGGGCGCAATTTTTGTCGAATGACATAATATATTGAAAGTATCGTTAAGTACGAGTTAAACGTGGTGATGTCCGATACACATGACGTGGTTCGTCGAAGTCTTATTAACGTTGACTGAACGTTATTTCCAATTAATGCAATAGAAGAAGTATACATGAAAGCGTGAAAATCCGCCGGAACGAAAGTCTAAGCGAGGTTAGGGTCACTCGCTGGTGGCGCTGCCCTCGAAAGCACGCGATCGTCCGACGGTTGTCCGAGGAAGCAGCTCGTCGGCAGTGCCAGGCTCACAAAAACGGTAAACCGCATTTACCGCGTGTGCTTCGAGTCTCATCGGGCAGGTCCGATTCCGAGCAATTCCATCGGGAGCGTCCGGGTAGGTCGAGCAGGTTGGGCAGGCCGGGCAGGTCGCGCAGACCGCGCGCGCCGCCCGCTCGGACTCCCTCCTATACCTCGCCGGGCCGAGGTTGGCACGGGACAGCGTGCCGGGCCGGGGTACGATTGCCGAGCGCGGAGGTTTAGCTTTGCGCGCGCGTTTCTCGAGCGAGGAAGCGAGTGGTCCGTCGGAGGGTGAAATCGAGCGTTGGAGTTAACCGCATCAAGGACAATCTCGTTTTCCACAAGGTCGAACAACCCCGGCGTGCGCGCGCGATCGAGTCCGGTTTCGCACGGACTCTTATCGACATTTCGGAAGAACGAGGCGAGTCTCGATTGCCGGCTGCGCTCGCTCGTGTTCGCCCGCATTCGTTGGCGCTGCCGCCGCCGCCAGCGACGGGCGCTCTCTTCGTCCGTTCCGCTCTTTCGCGACCAGTGACAGTGCGCCCGCCGTGTGGGTCGTGTCCGTCGCCGTGCCGAATTCTTCGACGGGCCAAGGGTACGCTAGCTACGCCTACTTAACTCGCGTCTTTTCTTTACGATTTCTCGGTCGCGCCGGCCGCGCGGCCGACGTTTTCCCTGTCGAGCCGGGCACGCCACGCAGCGCTAGGGAAAGGGAGAAGGCGCAGCCGGCCGGTCCGACGAGCTCGCGGGCGCGTCGAGCAGAGGCCGAGCGGCCCCGCTCGTCCGATCCCCGGCTCGGTACGCGGAGACCGCGCTCGCGCGCTTGGCGCGCCCCCTCGGAGCGGTGCGACGAGAGGAGCGGACGGCTCCGACCGAGAGGGAACGAGAGATCGAGCTCGTTTCGTTGTGTCGCGGGTGCCGGCCGAGGCCGCGCGGACCGCGCGGACCGCTCCGTTTCGTTCTCCGCGCCGCTTTCTCGAGGGAACGCATCGATTTCGGCGGGCTTCTTTTGCCGAAGTTCGACAATAACTCCGGGGATCGTCGCGAGTCGAGCCGAAACGAAAGAGCGGTGAGTGGATTTATCGCTCAGCGGGAGAACGAAGATCGCGTCGAGTCTCGAGAAAAGCGGAGCCGCCCCTGCGTTCGGGTTCTCTCGAGGCGAGAAGCGCCAACTCCGATTCGAACGTTGGGTCGGGGCGTGCATAGGTACTCCCGTATGACGCTCAGTGACGGCCTTCCGATTAGAATCGCGATAGGAATTTCAAATCGTCCCGCGCGGGAGACAAGTGCCGCGCCGCGCCGATTTCGGAGACCGGTTCGTCGTAGGGGATGCGTCCTCGTGCGAGAGCGGCGCTCGCGTCGCGACCGGAAATGGTTCCACGTTACCGACGGCATCGCCTCTGTCGGGCGCAACGATACCAGAGGCAGTCTTTTCGATCGAATCGTCTTATTAAAGATTCGGAGCGTCGGGGGTTCTCGATTCGGGCAAGTCGAGGTGGTCGGATTCTCGAATACGTCAATCGTTCCGCGTCGGCCGCTCCGGTGAAATTGTTCGGTACGATCGAAAGGGGACTGGCGCGCGCGCTCGTTTCTCGGCGACGCGACGGCGGGAAGGGGTCGGGGACTTTTCGATTCGGCAACGGCGGACGGTCAACCGAGCCGTATTTTCCGATGCGCGGTGGGAGAGGAGAGAAGGTTCCGAGCGGTGCACCCCGTTGCAGATCGAACGGGTGCACGTCGCTCGAACGAGACAGCCGAGCGCCAAGTCGGGCGCGGCTGCTCGCCGCGCGTCGGACGGAATCGCGCCCGTGAATACGTAAACCGCAACGACTCGATCCCGGTCGATGTAAAACGACGAGCGAAACGACGTAAGGACCGAGATGGAAACGTTGTCGCGTGATTTTTCTCGGTCGTACGCAGCCGGGCCGAAGGGGCGACGCGCGCGGTCGAGGGTCGTCATTGGCCCGTTCCGCAGGCGAAGGACGCGCCGGACCCGGCAGGCGCCGCTCGAGCGTCGCTCGAGCTTTGCTGGATCCACCGCGGCCGCCAGCCATTTAGGCGAGTTCGACCGCTGCGCGCCAACCTCGGGAGCTCCCGACGCCCGGCGCCGGCCAGAGTGCCGACCGGAGAACCGGCCAGCGATGGCAGACATGTCCGGGCTGTCTCCCAGCCTCGAGCAGGAAAGCGCGTCCCGAAAGCGTTCTCCCGTCGGTCTGCCCACGTGGATTTGCTTCCAAGACCGATTGGGTACAGGTATATAGCGTCGATGGAAGGACGTTCTCGCGCGCCTTTTATCGAGCAACACGTAACGAGGCGATCCGCTGGTGGGGGAAGGCACGATTCCGACCGCGCTGCGCGTTTCAGCGTTTTTCGACCCAAAAGGTGGAGACGCTCGTGCAGCTACGCGTGGACGTTTCCGTGCAAATTTATGGGACCGGCAGAAAATGAATACGGCGATCGCGGTCTCCGATAAGACGATCGAACCTCGGGGCATCTTTGAAAAAGTTTCAGGATACGCGATACCTGGTCCCGTCGGTTGGGCGATTTCGCTATCGAAAGGAAGCTCCATCGGCGTAAACCGGCCGCGATTACGAGCGAGACATGAGTCGGGTACGGACGCGGAAAGCCACAACGTCGGCGGTTCGCGACGCATTTCGTAGTACACCTCGCCTATTCGATCGACCGTTATCGCTCGGTTGGCGACGAGATAGCGCCGTTCGAGCCGAACCCTTCGCTGCATCGAAGGAGCGCGTGCCCGAGCGCCGCGACGCACGCCGTTCGATCCACGGAGGCCCTCTCGACGGCGACGGCGACCGCGGACGCGGCCCAAAAGATTGGGAGGCACCGCGTCGGGTCCCTCAACGTCATCTGCGCAAAACCGTCTCGTATGCTTTGGTTGCAGGCGCTGATCACGGCAGAAGCTGTCGGCGGATGCCGCGCGAGCCTTCGCCGGAGAGAGATCTTGAGGAAAAGGCGTGAAATTACCGACGACGGACAAGACCGGCATTTTGCATCGCTGGATCGATCTTGATGTTTCCCCCGAGTTCTATCCGGCGAGGAGGTTCCTCCGCGAGAAGGGAATCGAAGGGTGTCGAGTAACGCCGGTTCGCGCGGACGGACGTTCTCGCCCTCGGAATCTCCGAGAGATCCATTCGGCGGGGCTATGCCCACCGGTCGGTCTTGAACTCCCGTCGCTCCCGCACGAGCAGAATGCAGCACCGAATCGAGTCCAAGATCCTCCACGAGGAGCAGATCCTCGAGGCGATCGACCAGATCCGCAGGCGCAAGGCGCGGCCCGACGCGGACCGCATCTGCAACTACTTGCTGCGCAAATTTTCCGTGGACGCACGCGACACGATCGCCGACTTGCACCGGCTGATCGAGGCGGAGAAGGTCATTCAGGTGGACTACAAGGGTAACACCAGTTACCGGAACGCCTCCAAGTGGTCGCGCCTCCAACTCTACAAGAATCGGCCGGAGGGCTTCGTCAAGGAGAAGCTCAACTTCGCGATGGTCGCCAGCGCGGTCTCGGAGCTCGTCGTCGAGGAACCCGACTACCTCGACCAGGGCGTGCCCGCGCCGAGGCTGGTCGAGCAGTTGCTCGACGGCGTGTCCAACCCCACTTCTAGGCGCATGGTCGAGGAGTTCCTGGGGAAGGAGGTGGCTAGCGGGAATCTGGCCCGGTTGGCCAACGGCAACTACTCGCTGGTCGCGACCGCCGAGATGGCCTCGGTCGCGGGGCCGCTCCTCGCCGTCGGCGTCGGTGTTCCGGAGAAGGGCGGCCTGCGCACCGGAACGGCGACAGGGACGGGGACCGGAGCCGGAAGCGGGACGCTCGACGTCGACACGCCGCCCGCGACCAGCGTGGCTAGCCGCTGCCTTTACGACTTCGAGGACGAGGACGCCGTCGAGGACTCGAGGTCGACGACTCCGCGCTCCTCCAGGCAGGCCAGTCCCAAGCCGGACCCCGTCAGGAACAAGGAGGAATGTTACGAGATCATCGTGGGTCGGAGTCGGCGGAAGGCGTCCGACTCGGCTGCGGAGGAAGAGGAGGACGACGACGACGACGACGACGACGACGAGGAGGAGGAGGAGGAGGGGACGGAGCACGTGGAGGTGGGGCCGAGGATCGGGAAGGAGGAGGACGGCCTCGGGGAAGACGCGTTGTCCGGGACGGGTAACCTCGCGGAGGTCTGCGATCACGGGGGGAGATGCATCGTCGACGGCGCGGCTCCTAACCTCAAACGCACCTCCAAGGCGGAGAGAAAACAGCGGCTGCTCGTCCGGACTGATGACCCTATGGATATTGAAATTAAGTTCGAGGATTATAGACAGGAGACCAAGGAACAGCAGGAATGTAAAAGGTTCGAGAACGATGGGCTTAGCGAGGACAGAGACGAAGAAGATAATGGACCAAGTTCTACCAATCCTTCGCCGACTCCGTCGAATGTCAACAATGCTGGATTTAGAAGCGCTAGGAGAAAGGTACCGCAGGAATTTTCCTATGGGAAACGGACTATCGAAGTATGACCGTCGATAGTTTTACGTAGCGCCGTCGCTTAATGGAAGATTTCTAAAATGGATAATGTTTCAGAGAGCAAAGAAGGTTTTCGATCCTTCGGACAATAACTTAGTGAAACGAAAGAGAGGTCGCCAGCCAGGTGTTCAAAACAAAGCAGGTTCTAATTCGCAAGAAGCTTTGGATATTGTCAAAACCCCTGTTAAAGAAGGACCTAACAGACAGTGCAGTTTATGTGCCAAGGAGAAACAGGAGAGGCTCGTGGCTTGCAGGGATTGCACGGTTAGGGGTTGGTAATTCTATCCAAATGACGAGGAAATTACTGTAAGAGATCTGTCTTAACGGTGTATTTTACAGCTCATCCAAGTTGCATTTATTCACCGGAGGAGTTGGTACAGAAATTAGGTACTAGTTGGCAATGCGAACGATGCAAGAGTTGTACAATTTGCTGCGAGACTTCCGATGCCGTAAGTATTTATTGATTTAATATTTGTGTATAAATAAGTTGTATTTGGTCATGTTAAGGCTGTTAATAAAATTGCAGGGTCCCTTAGTAACGTGTTCCTCTTGTGACGATGCCTATCACTATTCTTGCCATACTCCACGTGTCTCGGTTCCTAAATCCAATGGAAAGTGGCAATGTAATAATTGCACGCAAAAACAATTTAAATCTACTTTAAGCCAAACATTGGGTATGGTTGTTAGCCGTCCCGATACACCTTCCAACCCACCGGTACTGCCACCGGTTTTAAGCCCACAAGTCTCTCCAGTTAGAGGTTCTTTCGATCAAGTGGACGAAGATGGACCTAAGGATGGTATAGATCCTAATATACCAGATGCATCGGACTGGACTTCCGAACAAGTATATCAATATTTTGCTCGACTATTCCCTAAGGAAGCTGAAGTTTTCAGACAACAAGTGAGTTTAAGAACGTTTTTTTATCATTGCGTATAACAACTTATGTATTATTATCAAAGGTATCGTTGTTACAGGACATTGACGGCCACTCTCTTCTATTAATGAAAAGGTCAGACGTATTGAGTGGTTTGGATTTACTTTTAGGTCCTGCGCTGAAAATTTATCGACACGTTTTGAAGCTTCAGGTACGTAGAGATGATCCAAGGTTATATTGGTTGTAAAAACATTGATATAAGTCAAACGACCATTAGATTGACATCAATTTTTATTCCTTGGATTTCAACACGATGGGTAGTGTGATAGGAAATTGTAGACCGTGGTCGTGTGTACATATTACGTGTATATATCACATGTACATATACATCTTTTTTTTTTTTCAATCAAATAAATGGCCTATCGGATGCATCGCAAACGATTCTCAGCAATGTTTCGCTTGCTGGATGAAAATTAGCCCGGTTCGATAGTAAATTGACACGTAACGAACGAAACGCTATACTTTTGTAAAATACTAGTTACTCGTGTATTATTTATGAGAGTTGTATAATAAAAGACTGTGCTTCACGCACGCTTTTTCCACTTGTACCGTTGTACTTATTACGGCCAGTCTCGACAAAATTGGGTTGTAGACGATTTAAAGGAATTCATGGCAAATAAACAGCAAGTAAATATAGTAGCTGTATACAGATAAATACAGAATCGTCTTTCTTAATCTACTTTAGTAACAGAAGATTGCTTAGCAGCTGGTACATCGATTACACGATATGCATTACGCAGTGACTATTACATTTTAAAATCAAAACGTACCGGGAGTCGTTCTTTGTTGGCTTTTTCAAAATGAATATTCCTACATTTATTCCTATAGATCAACTTGAGTCACTAATCCTAAATAAAATGTAAAGCTAGTCTTACATACTGCATGCGTGACAGAGTATTTTTAAGGTGTTAATGTTCTATTTAACAGAAACTTAGATGTATGAAATTAATACAGCCTTTGATCGATGACGTACTTTTTTCTCCTCATATCAGTACTTTGAAAACTAAATTCTAAAACGTCAATGAAATTATCCATTTGTGAAAAGTCAGCGCTAAATATGATCACAATTCAGCTTGCATGAGGATGTTAAAATTTTTTAATTGTATAAACATATTCGTATAGGAAGCTGTTTCTAAAATTACACTCATCGTGAAAAACGATATGTCCTTAATAATCCATCAAAGGCATTGCTATCATTTGACTTCTGGTAACATTTTGATTAATTTGGAAAAACGTTTTTTTTGTTTTTCCTCCAAATTGTAATATTGTCTTAATAGTAACAAAAATTCTTTTGTAACAAACGTACAAAATAATTTTGTAATAACTTCATTATAATTCTCAAGGCAATGCGATGGATGATCGTTAAAGCAATACCACAGCGATCGGAGCCTTTCGAAAATCATAGTGTTTTCTTTTATTAGATGAAAATTTAAATATTTAAAAAAATCATGAATATATCAACAACGAGAAATGCTTATTTAAACTTTGACGTTTACATTGATTAGATCGTCTTCTTCACTGTATTTAGGAGGGGGCTTTTTATGTAGAGGCTCCTCCCCTGGTATATACATCGTCATCTTGTTAGGAACACTAGATTTTTCAAGAATGCCTTCTCCTAATTCAATCGATTTGTCTGGAGATAAACAAAGCCAAAGGGCCGAGAGAGCAGCTACTGCAATGGATGATGCCAGTAGCCAACGTGGTATTCCAGTGTGACGCGAAGCACACTGCAGCCAATCCGATCCTGGCATAGACACAGACTGTTCGTTTTCTCCAGAGTAATCGGATGGTATTCCATAATCCGATGTCTGGTGAGTCATTAATAAAAATTTTTTCTTTAAAGCAACGAAACATGTTTTATTATTACCAACAAGAGTATAGTAATCCCTGTTGTTTTTAGTGTAATTTTTATATTAAGTGGAAGCATCTACTATTTCAGAGAAAAATGCTACATCAGGTATCGACATATTCCGTGAAAGAGCAATGGATAAAGGTGGCTGTGGATTATGATTGATTTATGCAGTACCGAACACGTTATATATTTAGAAAAGAATGAAAATGATATCAGTCTAATAATAATACGTTTGTAATCAAAATTCAATTTAAAATGTATAACAGCCAGTTTGTTGTTATTATTATCACTTTTAAAATGCACAGAAGTATACTCATAGGGCACAACGAATATTTACACCATTAAATTTTGCTGTCGTTATCCAACTTACCCCTGAATCAATTGGTACAGTCTTAATATAAGTTTGGGGTAATTTAAATCCATTAGAATCCCACCATCCAGGAAACAGTTCCTTTCGAAGTCCAGGATCAGTTAAGATGTCATTTTCTGGTATATCGGGTGACATTAATAAAATCCCTGAATTAACTCCTTCTTCTACATACATAGCAATGGAAACCAGCGAGATCAGGTCCGAAATACGACGTTTCGCCATGAACCCGCAACCCATTCTGCAGGCAATCCGATCTTGGATAATTCTATCATATGCTTCGTCACATGCTAAAGATGGCAAAATTATCAGAGACTCGATTAGATTAACGACATAAATACATGGAAACACAGTCAGTTATTCAAATCGAGGTAAAAGACGTACCGGCTTCGCAAGTATATTCAGTTGCATTCAAATTGTCAGGTTCGAGACCTCCGCGTCGATCGACAAGATTAAAAAATCTGCATCCTCGTTGACAGCATGACTTTATATTTATGTTCTGAAATATAGTGAGACAGGAAATCACTGGATAGCTAGATTGTAACTCAGATGAGAACTTGAAAGAAAAAAGTTTGATGAAAGATGCAAACAAAGCACTCGGCCAGATGAGTCGCGTACATTTCCGAAGTAGGATGATTCCTCGCAAACAGTATTGCAGGGACTTTGTCGATTAACCACGTTGTAAAATATATTCCCATTAATTAAATCCACCACCACTAAAATTAGCAAGATTCCAATTTCCTTATATTTTTTCATCACTATACCAGAACGTCTTACAACTTGCGAGCTCTTTGCATTAATCAGTTTAAGCAGACGTGTCAAAATAATTCGCCAAACAAAGAAGATGCACCGAGAAAGACGACAGCACGGCAAATAATCTAGTGAATATCAATGTAACCAATGTTGGAAATTTTTTCATTGGCCGAAGGCGGAGCCCTCTCCAAGAAACGAACCAATCAGTTGGCAACAAGGACCGTAAACTAGTGTAGATCATTCTTGAGCTCGCGTAGGGAACGTAACGCTCCTCTAGTTCATCGCGTTTGTTCGTGGTCTGTTGTGACCTAGGAGCAGCGAAGCGCTCGACTCGAGGTGTGAAGGGCGAATCAACTCGTTTCAAGCGTCGTTTTTTCTAGTAAACTTTTATTGCGAGTGGAGCGTCAGGAAGTACACTAGTCGTCGGCATCGAGAAGTCTATAACTCGGGAACTACGCCGCGTAGGAGAAAACGGAAAAGGAAGTTTCGATTCCAAATGACGTCCGCCGTCGTTCCCCCCGGGTCCCAACCTCCGGTACCTGAACGGACAGCAAAGAACGCGGCCACAATAAAAGGCACCTACCGTTCTAGAGGCTGAAAGAATCCTACTCCGGTTAATTTATATATCGTTGAAACGAGCTACCGACACTACTCGATATCAGAATTTCATAATTTTTCCAAGAACGAAGGCCAAGTCCAGCACGCACTACGGCCCCAGCGTAGTGGAAGGCTTGGCCGAAAATAGCTGAAAACCCTGAAACGTTCCCCTCGTCGAGGCGGCGGCTCTAAATCGATCAGGTACATCGAAGTGCCACCTCGACTCGAGGTCGGCTCCTCGCGAAATCCTTCTCCCAAGTCTTTTCGAAATCATTCGAAGATGTATCGCGAAACCGATGGACCCGAAGTCGGAGGGTCGTCCGACTTCCCGGCGCATGATAAATAAACGCGAAACGTAATCTACCGCGGACCCAGGAGAAAGCTATTCCTAGTCTAAGTCAACACACAGGAAATAAACAAAGTTCACGCGGCCACTCGCGAGTCGGCGAGAAATCTCATCCCGTCCACTCGCGGTCCCTCAAAGAAATCGTGACGTACAACCGATCCCCGTGCCGGTACGGACCTTTCGTCCCGTGACAGGAAGGGATCGGAGGAAGGAAACGTTAAGACTTACCAACGGGACGATACGTCTTTTTCTGGCGGTACTCCCCCAGGAGATCCCTCCGCAGAGACCTGGGGTTTCTGGCCTCCTCTCCATCTGCCTCCCTTCGACGTTGGCTCTGGCTGCATTCNTGCATTCGCTGCATTCGCTGCATTCGCTGCATTCGCTGGATACGCTGGACACGTTGCATGCTTCTACTGCAGCCGTTGAATTTCTGTTATTTCACTGAACGATATTTAGTCCATGGCACTCGAGGATCGTGATCACTGTCGCGTCCTAACCTCATTCTCTTCGCGTCGGTTCGGAAACTGCGCGTACATCCCATCTCGTCATCTACGAAGCGTCCCTTGCCCCTTGCCCCTCGCCGTTTTTTTAATTGTCGACACCTCGCGGCAAAATTTCAGGAGCAACTGGCGATTCGCCGGCCGGGCCGGAATCCCTGGCTGTGACCGACTTCGTGATTGGGCGACGTCACCGGCCCGATAAAGGATGGTGATTGGTCGATCCTTTATCGGGCCGGTGACGTCGTCCAATCACGAGTGGATTACTCGTGGATTACCCGTAATCAAATATTACATACCTGCAATGTATTTCGTGCGATTGCTACGAACCGTAAAACGCGAGGAAACAAATTTGCGTAAAAAACCGTACCTC